GTGTGTGTGTGTGTGTGTGTGGGCATACTCGCCTATTAAATCATGTATGCGCCGTAATAAGGAAGCCACATCTTGTATAATGCACATACTGAATCTTAAATTCAGATTCACACTAGAACGACAGCAAAGCTGACCAAATTAATGTCGTGCTCTCCCCGATCTGGCCCCTCCGCCACTTAGTTACGTACTTGCCCATCCAACTTTCAATTGAATTAATTGAAATTCTTCAGTCAGTAAAATACACATGAATGCGTCTGTCATAAGTTTAGTACGTTTTTAGATATATGTACATAGCTACTAGCATGCAAGATATACCATAAATATATGCCACTTATTAAGTATATACATATATATTATATGTATATTTACTTATTTCACAATACATTTAGAGACATCATTATCGAATAGATAACTGGACTATTTGACTACTTTATCACAAGGATATATTCATTGACTGGCTAAAGGCTTTGATATATTTTAACTTATAAGCACAGGCAAAATATACTGAAGACTAGTTTAACAGACTTTAAAAGCCTTTACAAACTTATGTAAGCCTTGCAAAAATTAACATATTTTTTTTTAAGAAAATGTGGTCACACTCTTCTATCGGCCTTTTAAAACTGTCGCGTGTGGGTCAGGGTTATGTAGAAAAAAAAAATTATGAATGATTATATTTTTTAAAAATATATAAAATATATATAAAATAAAATGCTTATATAAATAAATGAAAATAGAAATAAATAAAAAATAAATATATATATATATTTATTTCTTGTAGTTTCGAGCTTTTAATTTATTGTCGAAGCAACTTTTAGATAAGATAAATGAAATTGGCATATTCGTTTAATTAAAGAGTCTGCTTGGCTAAGGGCAAAAAGTTTTTGTTTAATTAAGTTCGTTCATTATCGAATTTTGTGTATTTTCAACGAACCCACGCAGCTTATGGCTATAATTAGAAGTTTGTGTTCTAAAGGGCAAAGCATCTCTAACCAAAGAAGTCTCAAAAGTTGGCAATTCTCAGACAGTTGTAATTGTTAAGTTTATTAATTTTGCTATACACCAAAATTCAGTGCTAATTATATTAATTTTCTTTAATTAAGATTTTCTTTCTCTATTGCAGTGACCCTTGCTCACTCGGCATACCCATATACCCATTTTTGGGTGTTTCCGATTGACCCTCATGATGCCCCTAGCCAGAGTGCACATTATTCAAGAGAATGCCCAGCCCAGCCGAGCAGCTGGCTAGCAATTGACCAAACGTGTGGAGCAATTTGATGTGTGTGTGTATATAGGGGATTTGGCACTTGGGACCAGCCTATTCTATAATGTGGTATACCGTATACGCAAGGCAATCTGTATTTGAATCTGAATCTAAATCTGAATCTGAGTACGCCTGGCTGTCTGTCTCTCTGTCTCTCTGGCTGGCTGGCTGGCTGTGTGAAAAGCCGGCAATGGTGGCGATTTAAGATTGAAAAAAATAAACTGTAACAAGCTGCATTGAGATAAAATAATCTCTAATGAAAAGGGGGCTGATTTTCGACGACTTCTATAAATGCGGGACATTTGCCGGGCTTAGTTAATAATCAACTGCGCCTGTGCCGGGCGGGTCGGTCGCTCGTTCTTTTTGTGTTGCGGAATTGAAGTTGATGTCGTACATCATCAGATACATTTCTATATGTATGTATATATGAGGGCGGCGTGTCGGACACACACACAAACACACACACGACTGAGGCTCGGTATTGAATTGATGGTTATTTTCAAAAATCCAATGACTGTCCGAGCGATCGCTGCACAAATCAGTTGAAGAATCGCACTCGAGCGACAATGTTCTCGGTCGCGCGTTGCAAGACTCAAACCCGAACTCGAACTTAGATCGGAGCATACAGAACATTGCATTAAGAAACTATTTCAATTTCAACTGTGCTTCAAACTTCTGCTGGGCAACAGCAAATATCAACATATTCCATGCATAACAATGAATATGTATAAAAAAAATTATAATATATATAATTTATATATATTATTTATTGAAGAACGACAGAGAAGCACGAGCAGCCGCTGCTCCTACGACGACAACTGGTCAATTCTCCGTGCGGGGTTAAGACCCCGCAAAAGGCGCGATAATCATAATCGTGTTGTCGCCGACAAACTTGGGGGGAGCACTGTGTGAGCCCCCGCAGTGTCCAGACCCCGTGCAGTTGTGCGCCAACGATTCTCAGACGCGTGGTTGCTCTGTTCAACACTCGGGATTGTGCTATTCCAAAGACTCTCACATATTGTAACTGAGCGAAAAACAGCAAAAAATAAAAAAAAAGAAGAGATTTAAATATCGTATAAACAAATTTGGTCTAGTTTCCTGCAGGTTTGTCGTAGATATTTAAAGCAAGAAGAACTCAAATGTAAAGATGTTTTTTACTTGTATTAATTTGTTGCACTTTTCATAAAAGCTTGTCAGGTTGTGAAAAATATTAAAGAAAAGTTTTGTCGTAGCTATAAATTTGATGCATATTCAGAATTAAAAGTTCGGCTGAAAGAGAAATTTATAAGTAGAAAAGTTTTTCCAGAGACTAACGAATCAATTTTAATGTAGTAATTTTTGCAAAAAAGAAAGGTTGTGTTGCTCTCGTATGACGAACACTCTTAATACCCTGTATTTAATATGTGCAAAAGAAAAATAAGATTAGACAAAAGTCTATGCGATTCAGCTTTTAGTAGATTAAAGATATTGGGGCATCCCATTTTTTTTTACCAAATCGATAGATATTGAATTGTGATTCTCACCTGAGAGATTAAAAATTCTAGATACTTATATCGAACTTAGTTGCATTACCTAAACATATAAAAATGTTTTTATTGCTTTTTTTTAATTTTTCGCCATTTCGACTATATTTAATGAACAATCAAATTTGAATGATGGCTAGATATATTATATATGCAGGCACATTTTACATAATGAATGTTACAGGGTATCTCAACGACCGAAAGCCTTCCTTCACTCATTTGACATATCAATATTGCAGGCGGAGCAGCACAGGAAATCGTCTTAGTCATATATTGTGCTATCAATTGATACTTGTACGTATTAATCCATGTTTTTCACTTCAAATGTTATATATATATATATATATGTATAGAGAGAAATTTGCATTTATCTGTTTGGTCGTTTAATATTGTTGTAGCCATTGTGCTACATTGTTTGTCGCATCTTGCAACCGCAATTTGCTGCATATTTTTGGACAAGCTTTGGTACTTGACGCATACAACAGAAAACTCAATCAAATGGAGGCAAGTGGTGGCAACAACAACAACAGCAACAACAACAACGACGACAACAGCAGCGACAACAACAACAATAAGATTCCTGCTACACATTGTGTGTAGTTTTTTATTCGTTTAAATTCAATTGACTTTGAATGCTCCACAATGAAGGCAAACAAGCGACACACACGCACAACCAAACACAACAGAAGACAGATCTGATCCAGAATCAACTGTGCCTCCGTTGTTGTTGCTATTGTTGCTCTTGTTGTTGTTGTTGTTGTTGTTGTTGTTTTCGTTGAAGCGCACCGAGCGGCGCAACGGAAAACGAATGAGGGTCAATTAAGCCAATTTAAATTTAATAAACTTATGTATTATGTGCAAGAGGTTACTAGCCATAGCAATATGCCATATATGACTTGTTATGATACACAGACACCGAGAGATGGGTAGAGAGCATGAGATAGATAGACAGAGAGAGAGAGAGAGAGAGAGAGAGAGATAGGCAGAGGCAGGCAATATTCCAGAACTGTTTCTGTATTTAATTTTCTTTTTTTTTCGGGGGTGGCAAACGAGTCTTGATATATCTAAGTACATTTCAGACGCGGGCTGCACAGAAGGTTAAGTATATATACATATTTATATATATACATATATATTAATAGCATCAAACCATATAAATTATAAAGTGCATAGTTCAGAATACATTACAATGCCGATGGCATATGCCGCACTTACTCAAGCTGTCATTTCAGAGGGATTGTAGTGTGTGGCGTAAGGGGGTTGGGGAGGGGGGGGGGGGGGGTGCACAAATATTTGATGTGTGATGCCATGTGGTATGTAAATACCTACCATATATATACATATGCATATGTAACTCATCATTTTAATATCGTTTGCAGAGCTCTTTCTCTCTCAGATGGATTCGCCCTGAAGAACTTGCTCTCAGTGCGGCAAATTAAAACTGAAGAACTCACTTTAAATGATGACGAATTAAAGCTAGATAATGTATTCTCATTAGCGGAAGATTAAAGTGAAAAAACTTACTCTCACTGAAGAAGAACTTTATCTGAAGAACGCGCTACAAGAGCAGAAAGATGCAAGCTGAAGAGCCCGTTCTTATTTCAGAAGGATTTATTTCAAGAACTCGCTCTTATATTAGAAGGATTTAAGCTGAAGAAAAAATACCTTCACATGCAGGAAGATTGAAGCTGAAGAACTCGCTCTTATTTCAGAAGGATTTAAGTTGGAGAACTAGCTCCAAATATAAGATCAAAGTTGAAGACCTCGCTTTCAAAAAGAATGAAGGAATTCGCTTCACTTGAAGGAAGATTAATGGACTTAATGGCTCAAGAACTCTCATGGACTTAACCTGAAGAAATCGGTACAACTTCAGGAACATTCGCTCTCATTGGGAAAGAATTAAAGTTGACGAGCTCCCTTACCATGTGGAAGGATTAAGGCTCGCTCTCCATTGATCCGTTGTGACTCATATTTGGTATAGATAGTACTCTATAGTACATACTTTTAGTTTGTGTCCAGGACATATTGCTTTCCTAAGTACTAGTGCCGCAGGAGTTAGGTTTGTGTCCGCAATGCCTCCTGCTGCCCAAGTGCTTATTAAAGCGACGAGTTTTCCACCAGCAACAATTCAAAGTGTACTTTATTTATTTTATTTTATTTTCCTTTTATCATTTTATTACTTTTAATTGATTTAATAGTATCTTTGTTTTTTTTGAATAGCTTTAAATACTATTTTTTGTTGACAATTTATACTAATCTTTGCAGTTACATTTTATTTTTTGCTTTCAGCTTAAAATTAACATATTTCTGGGCCAGAAATTCTCTAAAACACGCACACACACATACATATGTACTAATTATCTATACTGTGTCGCCAAGTGTGTGCTCTTCGAATACGAAGACTATACATGCATATATATATACATATATATACATATATATATATGTATGTTTATTTAGGAAGTCTGTTTATGTCAATTCATTAATAAATTAATTTATTACGCAATGCAAATTATGTTGAGGACACAGTTAGCCTTTAATTGTTCTATATCTATACATATATATATATATATATTATGTATATATACATATATATATATATTCATATCTTAAATGCTTAACATTTTATTCTGGTTTTCTTTTCTAGTTTTGGGTAGCCTTTCGGTAGTTAAAACTATTTATGCAACAGCATCGAAAACAATATATTCTAATAGAATTTCATTTATTTACAAATAATTTAACATTATCATTGCATTTTAGGCATTACACAAATAAATTCCGGGAAAACATTTATGCTATACGAAGACTTTTTACCATTCGTTACACAAACTAACTTAAGACTAAACTAAATGTTTATATACACAAGCCTTATTAGTTAAAAATACACGCCTAGTTATAAATAAGCACACACATTAGAAGTAGTTAAATAGGGCGAAAATAATACTTTCATAGACTTTGAGAATTGGACATACTTATGTACACGGATATATATCAATCAATATATATGTATGGTTTCTCAGAGATGTGACTCCCGCAGAACTCTGTTGGGTCTGGCAGAGTGCAGCTCCTGTTTAGATAAATTTGATAGCAGGGCATAAATTAATTGGAATTGTTTCTTTTCTGAAAGGGATTTTTTCATTGATATGCTTTTTGTTTTTGTTTTTTGTTTTTTAGGTAGGGCTTACATTAACCACGTCTCGGGGATAAGCATTATTCTGATTCAAGCAAAAACGTTAGATATGATTTGCAGTTTCTGGGTTTGTCCGGGATATGTAAGTATGTAAATGTAAATATGTATGGATTGCATCGAGAAAAGAATATGATAAATTAAACAACAGATATGCATGTATGCTGCATCATTAGGTATTCGTTCAACGTTAACGTTTAGAGTATTAGATCTTAATTACAACAAATGACAACGAGTTAAGTATTTACAAAACGAGTCGATTGCAATTACACATTTGGCATTGTTACCTAAATTAATAATGCAACAATTACACAGAAATGCTTAAAGTTAAAGAAGTCTTGCCTCAAACCATGCGAGTAAATATCTATATATGTATATGTATATATATAGGTGTATATGTCCAGCTGCTAGGGTATTACGATATTTATGTATTAATACAATTGCATTTGTTTTTACACTCACACACAACTACATGGATGTTTATATATATAAAGTAGATACATATATATATATACGTATAATTATTGTATGCAGATATGTAGCTTTAATGCATGTATGATGCTTATATACAACTTTCCTGTATGCGATTCGAAGTGGTGACTACTTCGGGCCGAAAACGATATTCACTTAATGACGAGGTCACCGATGCATTATTCGGACTGAGCAGACTGACCTCCATTGGCTGCGGTGTTAGATGATATGATGATGAGGGCGTCGATGTGCTTATATTATATGTCAACGCACCCAGCGGCGGGCTACACGTGGTTATGCCCTTCTTATTGAGAGTAGCATAGCTCTGTGGGCGGAGGCGATAAAGGGAGTATATTTGAGTTTCAGCTCGTATCGATGTCAGTTACTTACAATTTGTTTACTTGGCCGGAACGTATAGTGCAGCACCTCGTTGCCTGAATTGCTCAACAGGCCAATGGTATTGGCATCCGTGCCTACCAGACCTGCACCCACACCCACGCTATCCGCATTGCTCTTGCGCAGCTCCGCGTCCCGCCCACCACAATAATCGCGATGCGTAAGCCGCGTCGCGGGACTGGCAAAGCCTGGTGATGCGCCCAAAGCTTTCAGTGGGCGTTTCTCTGTGGGAAAATAACAATATTGGAGGAACAGTTGGTTGCAAGGACCTGGGGAATTCCTATTGGAACACGTACCGTACTGATTGGGTATAACATCTGGATCGGTGTCATCTATCTCAGCCTGATCGCTGAGCACTTGTGCATTAGTTCGTGTGCGTGCCGTCGAGCGCAGCGTATCGCCGCCCATGGAGATGGCCAAGCCTTGGCCACTTGGTGATGTTCTCGTGCCACTGTCTATGCTTACCTCGCTCAGTGTGCCACGTTCGACCGCATTCCGATTATCACAATTAATTGGAAGGAGACTGTGGTGCGACTGGTGATTGGACTGGTCGTGCTGTGCCTGTCCTTGCGCCTGGCCATGCCCATTTGTGTGCGGGTTGGGATGCAACGGGTCCAGCTGGCAGTCAGTTGGTATGGCCAATTGTGTGTGCTTTACGGCCTTCAGATTATCATCGTTGCGGCTGCAATTCAAATTCGTGCATTAGGCAAACCGGTTGCCCATTAAGCCGTGCCATTAAACATACCGATTTGAGAACCTTCTATATATGGCGGCCAGTATGATGCAGGATATGGCAAACAGCAGGCCACAGACGAGCGTCAGGCCAGCCAGGAATGGCGACAGCGGCACACTTAGCCCCGTGGAGCTGCCTGTAAAAGTAACAAATCATGATTATGAGGCTCAGTTTCAAGGCATACGCTAGTTTCAATTTTCGAACTGACCGGTTAGTTTTGCCACGCCCTTAAAGTTGATGTCGTCTATAATGGTCGGCTCCGAGCGACCCTTGACATTTACTGCGAATATGATCATGCGATAGGTGGCTGCCGGATCCAGGTTCTCAATCACAAATGTCACAGGTGTGTGCTACATTTGGGCATATATAAATAAGGTGTAGATATAGATATTATGTTTGGATATATTCTGAAGAACATTTCAAAATTCAATGTGAAAATAAACAAAATGCAAGTCGAACTAAAAACTCTTTAAATGCAAAGTCAAAATCAAATATAAACCAATGTTATTGAATTTATTTTAACCTAATGACAGATGATTTAAATTACATAAATACAACAAAAATGCAGGCTTAGGAGACGCCAGAATAGAATATCGCCAGAAACTAATATCTAGCTTATAACGTCAAAAGTTTTCTATTTATTAAAGTTCTGATTCTATTTATCTATTTCTATTCTTTATAAATTTCTTTAGGATGGCGAGTAAAGTATTGAATTAATGAGCACTAAGCAATGAAAAGTATTTATTTGAATATTATTTTATTTAAATTAATGCGGCATTAAATTATATTAAGAATTTCGTGTAAGATCTCATGTGCTACGCTTTTACTGCGCGCACATTTTAAGTATGCATATATGTATACGCATATATATAAATTTAAAATGAAATATACTTACGTTTATTGTTATATTTCTGGCCAGGCGCAGCGACTGCAACTCGACCAATTCGAGCATAAAGCTCTGTGGCAAGCCGCCATCGAATCCCTCGACACAATCCACCTGCAGCGAATCCACCGATTGATTGCTCACCGTACAGTTTTGCAGTGGAAACGGACGCCCTGAAGATAGATTAGATCACATTACATTATAGATACATCGTATATAGTTTTCGATAATGGCAGGGAGACCTACCCGCTGCGACAATTTGAAAGATACAGGGACTCTTCTGCAGGCCAATGGAGTTCTTGCCCCAACAGGAAATGGTGCCGTAGTCCAGGTCCGAGCTGGGCGTATAATTTAAGCGTGACATGCCAGTCTGCAAGAACAATTTGCTGTAGTATTTGGTTGACCTAACAGTCCAGCACTTGTGTGCCAAGATGATGAAATTAACTAAAATCCGTAACTTGAAATGCTTTGGCTCTTAAGCTCTTAAGCATCTCAATCATTTTAAACATCTTACAATTAGAGGAGGAGGGCGGAATGGGAATGGGTGCTTACCTCACTGGAGTGCAGACGGGCGGGCAGCTCCGTTTGCTCCCCGGATGAGTTGAAGGTCCAGTGGAAGGAGTCGGCTGGCGGGGAGGCGTCCACTTCGCACTTCAGTGCCAACGTCTCGTGTTTGAGGGCGCCCAACAGCTCCTCGTGGTCGATGGCACAGATGGGCGCGTCTATGGGTGAAATAAATAATTAAAGCATTTTATTAAAATATTTAATGCCCAGCCGAAAGTGGCTTAAATAAACCGCACAAATATGGGCTGCGGTCTTTAAAACTTCTATGAATTAATTGTGGACTGCAGTTGTGGGTCGCTCTCATTTGGGATACATGAGACCATTCGCGTTGGAGCCAGAGACAGAGACAGAGCCGTGGCTGGTGCCAAGGCAGGCCATGCATTCATTGCGCCATAATCTTGGTCATTAACGTGGTGTTTGGGAGCTGGTTCGGGGCATGGGGAATGGGACATGGAGCTTACACTCGGCTACGCCCACGCCCACTTAAGTTTGGCTGCGACGGCATTTGGACTGCGGCCAAGCCGGCAATGAAAACCCCCTTACGTAAATGCATTAAAAGACATTCAAGCTCAAGGATTAAATTGTAAATTACATAGAGACGTTGGCCAATGCCAAATTGCGGTGGCGCGCCCAACTCGGTTCACAGTTCCCAGTTCACAGATTGTCCGGGCATTTACTTACAGCGTATGCGCAATGTGACCGGATTACTGAGGCCTTTGCCCTCCGAATTGACAGCCAGACAGGTGTAGTCGCCGGCGGAGGCGCGCGAGACGCTCTGCAGCACCAGGGATTGATCCGACAGGATGATGCCCACAGAGATGTTGTGCTGTAGCTCCTTGCCCTGCGCAACGTTGGCAATGTGGTGATGGTTGCGTGAGTTGAGCTTTATCATTGCCAAACATTATAATAATAGCTTACATTGTGAAACCAGGACATCTTGTAGGGCTTCGGATTCGATTGCACTATGCACTCGAAGTAGGCATCATCGCCCTCCTTAATGTCGTCCGGATTCAGCGAGGAGCCCATCTTCAGCAGCGTTGTGGGCTGGTCTGCAAAATGCAAACAGAATTTCTCATTGTCTTCTATCACAGCCAGGATCTCTGAGTAATTAGAAATCGCTGCAGGTGGCCCACACCGTCCACATCGCCAACAGGCAGCTTCGTCCTTAAATACCTAACCAGCCACTTACAGTGCACAATGAGGCGCCATTTGTCCTCAATGGAGCTGCCATCGATGAATTGATTTTCTGCCCGACATGTTAAATATTTGCCATCGTCCTCCCGGGTGGGCGTGAACGTCAGTATACTTAGGGATTGATTGTCTGGCTCATTAAACTAAAAAAGAAGCGCAAACAGAGTCCATTACGAAATGAATAATGAAAAAGAAAGCTGAGGCGAGAGCAAAAGCTCAAGTGAAACAGATACAGAAACAGGCACAGACACAGAAACTGAAACTGAAAGCGAAAGCTTGAACCTAACTCTAAATGAAAATAGCTGCAATTATAAGTACAGTTAACGCCCCGAGGGCCGATCAATAGGTAATGAGCTTACATATTTACTAACGAAACAAATTATCCAAATTTAGCAACATCACAAAACTAAAACTTTACTCGCAGTTCATTATTTATTCCGTTGCGCCGAGGTAAAGTTTTGTTTTCTTAAATTATTAAGGAGCGCAGCTCGTACTATTAATTATTTATTGACCTTAACTTTAAATCAATCGAGTTTTCTGTTCTCTTTTTAATAAGCTCAACAGAAAAGCAGAGCTAACTTCGAAGTGCCGAAGCTTAAATACCCTTTCTCTTACTCTTAGCAGGTTTTCGATAATAGGCAGACTTCATTTATGATGGAAAGTTTTGGGCGACTTTATGATATATATTATTAATAAATTAAATTAAATTAAATTTTATTAAGTAATTATAATATTTTATCAGTTATTTTTTATTGTTATTTATTTATAGATATATATATTTTTTATTTATTTGTAAATGTATTTAAGACTTTGAAATTTAGGGAAAGCAAATCCATACATTTTAATTAATTTGTATAGTTTATATATACATGTATATATATATTTATTTTGTTTATGTTCAGGGTCGCATTTATCTAATTATAAACTTCAGATATGATAAAGATATCTATTCTTTCCTAAACCAATAAAACTGGCATTTTGTCGTAATTTTACCTAACTAGAATCAACTGGGTTTTTATTAATATCCTTAAGAGTTTGCCTAAGTGAGTAATTTAGTTAGTTAATCAGGAACTTTTCATGTACTTAAACATACATAAGTATATTTAAAAAATAAATTTTAGTTATAAACATAATAGAGAAACCGTTCTGTGACTTCTGGAGTAAACCCATAAGATGTTGAAAATTTGATCTGATTAGAATTAACAAGAGTTTGCTTAGATGGGTTATTTAGTTATTTAATTAAATGTTTTCCTCCTACTTAGACATACATGCATACAATATATACAACATAAACATTTGATATAAAATATAAACAAAATACAAAAACCTTTCTGTAACTTCTAGAGTAAACCCATAGAATGTTAATAATTTCTAATTTGAATCAATTTTGTTTTTGTTCTTCTTGTAAATAGGCTAATTACTTATTGATCTAAACTAAGCCACAAACACACATATGTGTGTGTAAGTACACCATTATATTAATTATTGTGTTTTCTTAATATTAATGAGCGCGTGTAGTTGTTCATATTAAATGGGAAGCATTTATTTATTTTGAAGGGCGAGCTGGCTGAAATACTTACGTTCTTGGTGAGTTTCTTTAGCTGCTTGTTGCCCTTCCACCAGGTGATTAAAGCCGGCGGCTTGGAGCCGGAACTCTTGCACTCAATATCATAGGTACGATCCGCGGAGACAAAGCGATCCTTGGTCAGGATATGCACGGCCACAGGTTTCACTGTGGACAATAAAAGCAATGGATGAGCATCTAAGCCAGACATTGAGCCAGCTATTAGACCCACAGTTGACATCCAATATGACGACCTTGTTGTTTGGCGGCGTCAGATTCGTATTGCTGGCTACGCACACAAGTCGCGCATTCAGATGCTGCCGCCCAATATTGGGATAGGATAAGTGGTTAATGGTTTTGCCATCGGCGCGCTGATCAAATGACTCATCGATGACCGTGTTATCCAAGTACCAGGTAACATTGGGGCGCGGCCGACCTGTAAGCCATTTAGTAAATCAATTAGATGTACGGCTCTCGGGCGTTGGAGGAGAGGGAGGAAGTTGACCCTTACCGCCGGATACCTCGCAGGCCAGCACAATATCGTTGCCCTCGTTGAAGGACTCCACATTGCTGGTCTTGTCATGCCTGTTGGGCTCATAGATAATGGGTCTATCCGGTGGCACAATAACAGTCAGGTTTATCTTCAGATTGCGGGTGGGTGAGTTACGAAAGTCCACACGGCACCGATAGGCGCCCTCATCCTCAATCCGCACATTGTCGATTTTCAGCTGCGCTGGATGCGAGGTGCTGCTGAAGTGGGCCCGCGTTCCGAAGGCCAGCGGCGAGGACCAGAGACGCGCCTGCCCGAATTGACGACCGCGCACATCAAAGCTGCAAATATAGAGTTTGGACACATGCCGCTGCAATTGGGCCAAGTTGCTAATTAAAAACTCCGCACGACTCACTTGTAGATGGGCTCGCCATCGCCCTCGCGAAACCAGAGCACCATATAGACGGCATCGTCGCGTTCCAGCGGCGTTATATCACACGGCAGCATGGCCTGCCTGCCCAGGACACCCTGCACCGATGTCAACGGCACCGGTCTGTCCAGTTCGTGTATGAGCTCGTCCGGCTCCAGATAGGAGCACGTCGCCAGACTCCAACAACTGGATATCAGCAGCAGGGCAACTAAATGCACCGATGCCATCTTATCATTCTTAAGCAGCGGGTATCGTTGACAGCTGACGTTCTGCTGGAGCTGTTGCTGATCCGGCTCCGGATCCTGCTGCTGCTGCTGCTGCTCCTGCTGGCAATTGCAATTGTAATCGTTGTTGAGCTCAGAATGCATTTCTCTGCGTGCTTTCCTTTGCCTTTTAATTCATTTATATATATTTCTCTCGTACTCCTTTAAGCCTTCAAGTGGAGATTAAGTGCCCGTGTCAAGTTGCTGGCCATCTTGGGCTCGGTTACGAGGGGTTTGCTTCTCTGGCTGTGGGTAAAGCGTAAATGCATTCAAAGCCAATATATATATAAGTGAAATGTGTTTGTGGCAACACTTAATGAAATGCTTCAAACAATTCGCATTTCAAAGGAAAAATTAATTATATTATTGACAGAAATACCGGAGCAAAGCTATCTTCAAGTGTAAATACTTTCATTGAATTTCTTGCATGGCAGTTTAGCAAAAAGTTTTTCCATCTCAGTGCTAATTGTAAGCCAGAAATATTAGCCCTTTTATATATGGATTAGCTGAATTGTTATTTAATTCTGGGAAAAGGAAAATTGGTTACACAATAAAGTTCACATTTTCCGCTCGACGGAAAACTGTTTATGGAGTTTAGTCTACAGATGTAGTTGTATCCAAAGCTGATTGTAAATTGCAATTATCTGTATAATCAAGAAGTTGCTGTGGCTGTATCTACAACAATCTAAATCTACCTGAACTATCTTGAACTGCAGTTTCTAAGCTATATCGTATATAGATACAAACATATATCATACAAAAATGAGTTCCAAGTGCATCGAATAAAGAACTAAAAGTTGGCATCATCTAAAACTTGCCGCCTATTTAGTCTCGTGGAGTCGAAAATTAACATTAGTATTCATACTTTTCACGCAGGATGTGTGGATCTTGCGAAAAGTGTGAAACGCGTCTTGAACAAATTATCTTAAAGATCTTGGCAATATATGTATTTTAGCCCGCCACTATACACTTAAATCTTTAAGCTTTATTCCCACTAAGACGGGGTGAAATTTCATAAAACTTTCAGCAAAAATCTTTTAAAATCAATTGCATAAAGTTTGAAAGACGTCTCAGAAGAATTCTCATAGAGATTTTCGGAATTTTGTGAAAAGTGTACAACACCTCCCAAATGAATTTGCATACAGATTCCTGGCAATTAATTTGCACACGAAGCTTCACACTCAAATATATAATACTCATTTCCACCAAGTGGGAGTGAAACTTGCGAAAAGTGTGAAACAACTTTCAGATGGAGTTGAACAAGGATCCCCTAAGAATAGGTTTGAGTGTGAACGGATTGTAAACAAGCAAAGTTTCATTCATGGGTGGAAGTACCCAAAACCTCGCCATAGGGTAACTAGAGTAAGAATTACAGCTATCTAGCTATTAGGGTTCGAGCTGTCAGGACGAACAGTTTTATATAAGTGTAGGACATAAGTTTGTATACAACACAAGGATAAGTCCTCTTCCCATCATTTCTATGACAGCTGAGTATGAAAGATGAAAAATCTTGAAGCCATACCAAAAATGAAATCAAGTGCAACGTTTTTTTTCAGCAATCAACAAATTTGTTTTACCATTAATACGTTTGCTGATAACTTTGAGGCTTGCCAATCCTTTCGGGCGCAACAATTCTCGAATTGAACAGTCAACAACAATTGTGAGTATTGCTTGCCAGAGCACAATGGCAAATGTCATATGAGTTCTGTTCGAAATCTTTGTTTTTGATAGATGAGCTCATGGGCATGAAAATGAATTCATGACGTTATTGCGGTCAATCGTTCAATATATATACAAATATTGGTGAAATTCTTGCTCAAGCTCCAGCTCAAGCTCAACTGTCAGCATAATATCTTTAAAAATGTAGAGTCATTTATTTGGCACATGGTCCGAATTGCCAAAAAAAGCAAAGAAAACACAGAAAGAAAAAAAAATAACACTGACAACAGCTCACACAAAATAACTTTGTTACTCAGAGGTTATGACGAAAGTAAGCATGATTGGTTAGCTTCCTCTAACTGCACCTACCCATTCCTCTGGCCAACTCTCGCTCATCTCGACCATAAATTGTGGCTATGGAATGTGACACACACAAACTAGCCAAAGGCTACTCTGGATTGGGCTTGTGTCTCTTTCGCTCTCGACTGCCTTATAAAGGTATTAGATCTCTGGGCTGATAACGGAGAGAAGAGTTATGGGTTTTCACAAACTTTTAAAGATGTCGTGGCCAATCAAACATGGCTCATGATCATATATCCACAAGCACTCAAAGTTATGGCCATAATGCCCCTTTATGGACATTTAATATTATAACTTAATTAATTATTACGATTTTCTAGACAAGGGGAAACAACAAAAAAAAAAAAAAACTAAAAAATACTGCTCGTAAATATGTATGGCATTCACAATTTGCCTATGAATATGATTTCAGTTTGTTTTTGTTGCCGCCAACTCCGACAATGGGCCTATGGGCCAGCTTTTCAGCCTTTTAGCCTTTCAGCTCGATTATTTGTTTTAAATGCCAACGATTTGTAGTGAACCGGTTGTGGCTAATGCGAAACATACATCAATGAACTTGAATTCTTGCTCATTGAAAATTCATTAGGTTTTATCTGTTTTTCTGTGGCCACAAAAAGTAAAAAACCAAATAAATAATAACGATAGTAATAATGTACAATAGACGCGCTGATTTATTCATTTTTTGCCTTAACAAATTTCGTAAATTATTTTAATGTGGTTTTCAACAATTTAAATGGCAATTTCCCAATTTCATTCATTAGCCATTTGCTTTTTGCACAATCAGACAAATGAGCTACAAATGAATCTCAGCTGAACTTTGATATTCGCGCGTTTGCCAATGGCTGAATTAAAGGGAATTTATGTTAATTGAAAAACACTCAACTTACACGCATTCACAATTAAATATTTCGCTGCTGCAAAACGGGCATCTTAAATAGTGCTAAGCGTTTTCTAATGGCGGCAATTAAAACGCTTCCCGCCATAAAAAATCATTTTCAGTGCGCGGCACATGTGTGTCTGGCGCGGGGGAGGGGGCTGGTGGGTTGGGGGTTGTGGGGCGTTGTCCATGGCCCAGGTGCGAATTTGCTTTTCAGCATGAGAGCAGATCAAAAGATATTTGCATTTTAAACGCAGCCAAAGGTGCCAACATACGCTTCAACAAGAACAACAGCGGCAACAACAAGAATTCGAGTTCTCTTAGTGTTGCCGAAATTTGAATACCCTTTCGCACAGTTTGAAGCTATATATTGAACTGCTTTTTGCTATTGAGAAAGAAAGAAAGGAACTTTTTCCTATACAAAGTGCAATCTCGATTTGATTTATTGACAGGGATTAAATGAAATAAACTGAAAAGAAAAAAGTGCCTCAACTTTTGAAGAATCGTTCAAAAGGCAGCCTTTTAGTTTGCCTGATTCCAAGGATTGTGGCAGCACGAGAAGACTTTGCCAGAAACCAGAAACAAGTGGACAGGTGGACTCACACAGGGCACCTGTTGAGACTGACTATGAATGTATATATCCACCGATATGTACCTTTTGGCGTCGCACAATGCGTGACACACTGACAATACCCTGCGCCAGGGTATGCTAACAAGTGCAGCTTGTCATACAGCAGGCTCCTTGGGGAGCGCCTGTGTTTGCTCAGATGCCTGGCGCATATATCTTTTACATATTTAATATATGAGCGGTTAAGTTTGTTAACTGCTTGATGGGCAGCCGGTTATAAAGGCAGGCGTGTCGGCCGCTTTGAGTGCGGTTTGTTCAAATCGCCCGTTGTTTATTTGCTGGCCATTTTCAACAAAAACACCTTCAGCTCCAATACAAAATATGATACAAACCGGTTTCCCTATTTTTCTTCACAAGTTTTTTTTCTTTACATTTTTGCCTTTTGATTTAACAAAAAGACAAAAATTGTACACGACGCTTTAAAATGCTAAAAGATGTTTGGGCCGAGTGCTGGCGCTGTGGCTGCGGCTCGAACGCTCTGGTGTTGCTAATTAAGATTACAGACATTGATACTTTACGGTACGCAGTGGCACGTACAAATACAGATACAGATACAGATACATAGTAAGCAGATATACAGGTACAAACAGGTATATAGTATATAGCGTTCGTGTGTGTGTGTTCTTGCCTTAGCTTTGAAAAGGTTTTTTATGGCAGCCAGTTGATGGGCATATTAAGGTGCTCTATCAACAACTGACAGCAAGGCAAGGGCCTTTTTGGCTTATTAATTATGTAGCTTAATTTGCGATTATGCAGATATGAGCATAAATTTGAAGGAATTGTATTAGCTGCCTGATAACTCACCAGTTTAATATATGTGCATACTCGAAATCGGTTCATTCAATATTCCATGTTGTTGTATATATTTCTTTTTTTTTGTTCTTTTGCTTATTGTGTTTTAGCTGGGCTTAATGTTTCAACTGTTTTGTTATTGTTTCTATTTTTGCTTAAAGCTTTTTTCTTTATATTTAAGATCAATGCGCGACACGCCGTCTGCGCTTGAAATACAAAATATATTTAACTATTTATATATAGATAGATGATGATTAGGGTATATGCATGTGCCTGCTTTCATAAGACGCGCACGCACTTAATTGGCCAAGATTTAGGTTCACGCTTTTGGCCATATCATTTAGCACTCGACCCACGCGGGAGCACAATAAAAATACATTTCTCATATTGTTGCCGTTGTTGTTGCCGTTGTTGTTGCAGTTGTTGCTGTTGTTGGCGGCGCTGCCAAGTGTAATCAAGTGCCACTAAAGATCTCTCGAATCTCTCTCGTTTTGACAACTATTACCATAACAAATCAGCGCGCCTGGCTCTGACAGGCCAATTGAACTGCACAGCCCGGCAGCAAACAGCCGGAACAACTGCGACAACAACGACAATGTACGACAAAAAAATATTTACACGGCACTACTATCGAAGGGGAACGGTGGAGGGGGGGGGGGGGTGGATTAGGCGGGGGGCAGGCAGTCGACAAACCGCCAACGCCAACCAGTCACTGTTAACGTTACCGTTACAGTTACAGCGTCACCAAACAATTGACAGGGGAACGGGAACGGGAACGGGTACGGATACCGTAGATTTGTGTAGCAGGAGAAGCAGAAGGGCGACAAAAACGTTGACGAGCAACGTGAAACGAGGCAAAGGAACGGCTAGGACCACGTTCACGGGCCGTGCTTGGGCTTATCCTTGTGTCTGTATTCGCCTCTTTTTATGCCACAGTCGTAAATTCCAATTATCGACGAAGTCGCAGCACGGCGGCAACAGCGCCAACTAGCCCCGCAAAGAGCCAACAGGAGCAAAAGCCGGCCTCGAGTCGAGTCGAGTAGAGTCGAGTCGCGGCGTGGTGAGACGAGGCGAGACGAGGTGAGACGAGGCGAGTCGAGCTATGTGAAGTGGAGCGTTTTTCAAAGTCAGAACCCGGCACGCGGCGCACGAACCCGGAATAATGTTATTCTTGTTGTTGTTGTTGTTGCTGCTGCTGCTGCTGCTATTTTAGTCACTGTTTTGTTTCGTTTTCATTAATATATTTAAATTTTGGTAATCCTTGTTGTGTGCCATCAGGTAATGCAATTTGTATTGTGTACCGCGGAGCACTGTAACTGAAATTGAAATTGGAATTGCCCGAGCACTAGTGTCGGGGTCAATACAACTTATATGCTGGACTATGTTGAATCAATTGCACTCATAACATTTTTTTTTTTTTGGGGGTTTTTGGTTAAGCACTTGGGCAAGGCGAAGTCACTAAAATATCACAAATACCTTAACAGTCTTTACACACACACAGACACAGATGTAATAAAATTTAACATTTGTGAGTGCGTTTGAGTTTGCCTGTGTGTGAGTGTGCGAACGTGTGGGTGTGTGTGTGTGTGTGTGTGTGCTTGGTCTGCGCTTTAAACGGATACCCTTAAGCGAACGTATTGGGCTACATTTCAGCGTACGAGCGCAGAGTCCGTGTGCAACATGTGTACCGTTATAGCTTCGCGTATCAACTGGATACACGACTTCACAGTCGTCGCACTCGTCGCTGCGCTGGTCTCGTGCTGGCGTCGCGTCGCTGCGACTCTGCTTTGATTTTTCGAAATTCGAGCTCGCGCTCTAAAGAGAGAATCGAACTGTGTACAACAGCAGCCCAAGCAGCCGAGACGACAGCTAAAGAGCTCCGAATTTTCGAGCTACTTGGACGTGCCTTTGATTTAATTTGTGGCGTGCATGCATTTATCAAAGAAAGTATGGAAAAATGTATCAAACTTTGTAAATTACTTTTTGGCATACAAATAAATTTGTATATGACTTTATACAAATTGTTATTTACTTTGCTAACAGATACTAGCTCTGGAATGTACGGAAAATATAAGTATACAAAATTTTATTATATTTTTGTGAATATGAACTTGACTTTATTTGTAGCGTGCATGAATTTATCAAAGAATTTATATAAAAATTTACAAAGTTTTTAATGAACTCTGAGGCATATTTAAGCATGGACAACTTTTCTATTATATACTAGTGCTTGGATTCTACACTTTGGCACCTTCAACAAGCCTTTTTCCTTTTTTAAACAGAATTTACACACACGTATTTGCATCTTACAGATTCTTGTGTATCTTATTGATAAGTCTGAGCCCGATCGTAAAGCGGCATCTAATTCAATAACAGTAATAGGAAAAATTAAGCTAATAGCATAACATGCCATCAGAGTGAGCTCTTCTGTTAAACAAGCATGCTTCAGCCACTGCTTTGATTTTTCGAAGTTCGAAAAAGAGCGCCTAACATTAGCCACAGCACAGCTAAAGAGAGCTAAAAAGCGTGAAACTTGGCGATATTCGAGTTGTATGTTAACATTATTGAATATCGTAGATGCTTGATAACGGTCGCTGTGGCTAACATGGGGCTCTTAGAGTTCGAAAGAGTCTTTAATGGGAAGTCCTGTGCAACATTATTGATATATTTACAGTAATATTTATTAATAAATAGTCTACTTACGGCACAAAAACTGTGTATATTTATTTAACTATACATATTGCGAATTGAAATTTTATTAATAAATATTTATTTGGCAACACTTGTGACTGCAATTAAAGGAAAGTCCTATTAAAATAAGTTTTATAAAAATATATAATTAAACACTTTTAAAATTTGTATATACTATAAACCGAAACAGGTTTAAATCACATTTGAATCATTTATGATGCGTTTTATAGTCGAACATACATAAAAAGATTATATGCCATGGGCGACCATATTCGACAAGTTTTTAATTGGTTTTGGAGTTGGTGCTAATTAAATACTGAATTTGTTTTCAATAAGCCAAATTGATTAAATAAAATGCTGGATTTGTTTTGAAACGGTTTTCAATTGAGAATTGTTGTTTGTTTTTATAACATCATAACAGAGAAAGCTAATTATCAAAGCTGAAGTGCCTGAGGTTATTTGAGCATCAAATATAATATGTTTCTGCACATATGTATCTATCATATTTAATCAATTAATTAACACATGCACATTAGTATAAGTAGATGCAACGTTGGCTGCAGCTCTGTCATAGTATAAACATATATATATATATCTGGTCTTAATTAAAAGTTGACTTGCCAAATATTAGGCCTAATAACTCGAATCGACAGGTTTCGGATAGACGGCAGTGAGAACAGACACATTATTGACATTTCTGGCAAGAGCCGAGAAATTGTTGAAGCCACAAAATTGTTGGCAAACAGAACAAGTTCCAAATAAATCCGTTTGATCGGCAGCATATATAATTTGGTATCAATCAATGTGTTGAGCTGCTTTTAAAAATAAATTCTTCAGCCTCTGAAGTAGATTTCCATAATTTTATTTTTTGTGTGCCTTCTCTCTCCCTCTCTCTTGCCCTCTGTCTTTATTATTTTGCAGAAAACAATTCACTTTTATATGGCCAGATGTTATTCATCATGTGGCTTTGTTGTGCCTTATCGTGTGATTGATGCGCCATATTCACACGATTCGATATCGGAAAGGAAGTAGTAAAGATGCTCGAGCAATTTACGAGTACAAACACAGCGTCTTTCATTTGCACACTGAGAAAAAAAAACGAGGTCCGCAATTGTAAATTGAATATGCTTTAATTGAGAATTTACGAGTGCAAGCAAAGCAGCTTGTATGTGCATATATATGCTTATACACTCAGAGAAAAACGCTGTTCGAAATTGCAATTTGAATATTTCTAGGGATACAAGCATAGCTTCAAATATATATAAGTAAGTATATATAAGTATATATGTTTGTACACTCAGAGAAAAACTCGGTTGGAATTTGAAAAATTAATATTCTTAAATTAAGCATTTACGAGTACAAAACACAGCGCCTTACATATATGTCGTATATTTGCTTATACACTCAGAGAAAAACGACGTTCGAAACTGTAGAATTTATAAGTTTTAATAAAGAATGAACCATTTTTGTAATATGAATATTATTACTCTTTGGTATAAAAGCTCGACTGTTCATTATACAAAAAAAACTTTATTAAACAAAAAAAAAACATTTTTACAAGTTTTTTTGTATTTCAATTAACTCAGAAATTGTAAACTTTTTAAGATTAGTTTAGTTATCATTAAAAAAAGTTGTTGAAAGCAGAAATACTTAAGATAATTTTTTTAGCATTAGATAAAAGTTGTATATATTTAGATGAATTATTAAAATATAGTTCAGCTGGAATTATATAAAGTTAACTCATTCGATAAAAGTTAATAAAAGAATATCTAGATTTCTTAATCTAGCATAAGATAAAAGTTAGCTTTTGCCTATTTTTCTTTAAGAATTCAGATTAGCTTATCTAACATTCAATATAAGTTAATTAAAGAAGAAGAACCTAAGATAAGTCAATCTAGCATTTGCTAAAAGTTTAGAGTAAAAGAAACTTTAATTTTTGCAACAATGAGAACTTAGCATTAATCTAGCTTTGCATAAGAGTTAATTAAAGAATAATTACTTAAGGTATGTTAATCCAGCATTAAATGAAATTTAATTATGAACTGAATACTTGAGATTAATTAACTTAGCATTAGCTAGAAGTTAATCAAACAATACCTACTTAAGATTGGATAATCTAGCATAAGATACGGGCTTACAAAGGAAGAATTGCATAAGATAAGTTAATCAAGCATCAGATTAAAGTTATTCAAATAAGAATTACTTAAGACACAGCATAAGAAACTTCAATTCTGGCAACATTAGAAACCTAGGCCCTAAATTAGTGAGCACTTTTTCTCTGAGTGCGTATGGTATATGCACTTTAGAGTACATTATGACCACCCATATATATATATATATATAAGTATATATGTAAATGTCGGAGTGCAATCACCTGGTCCACAATCGAAACGGGTGCATTAAATCGTTA